ATAAAGCATGCCGGTTTTAAATAATAAAACGGCATTTAATTATAACGCGTGCAACTTCCAAAAGCGCTATACCTTTTTTTTATCCATTTTTCCTTTCCATCTTAACCTTAGCCCTTACTTATTATTTAATGGATAAAAGCATTTCCATAAAAAAAATAGCCTTAAATTATTACGGTTTTAATGCCACCTTTTTAACTTCCTTCGTTATTATTACCATTTTCCTTTTTCTTTAAGGTCGGGCTACGAAGGGCAGGATTACCTTAACGGGGAACCTTTTTATTCCTTTCTTTAGCCTTATCCTTTTGCTTGCTGCCCGGTTTCGGGTAAAATTCGAAAAAATGGCTTACCATTTTTTTAAACTTTTTAATTTTAAAGCAAAAGCTATTTAAAAGCTTTTTTTAGAATAAAGCAATTGCAATGCGCAGTTAAGGCAAAAAAGGGAAAAGGTTGCAACGGTAATTGCTTTAAGCATATTAAATACACCGTAAAATACAACCATCCCAAAAGGAGCGCGCTATAAATTTATTGCTACAAAAGCCCCGGAACTTTATTAAAAAGCTTTTAATATACCCATCGCATGGAATCGCGCGGGGAATAATACTATCGGGAAAGCCAATTAAAACGTTCCCGTTAAAAAAAGGTTAACGGTTTCGCTAAAAAGGAAAGCCAAATAGCATTTTTTTTAAGGATTAAAACGGAAAAAAAAGGGGTGGTTAGCATAAAACCCGCGAAAACGGTTAAAAACGAATTAATTTAATTATTTACCTTCGTTTTTTTACCCGCTTTACGCTTCCGGGTATCGGGGGAAACAACAAACTTATTGTTATTATCGTTATTTTTTTAAACAAACTAATTAACAAACTTATCGAAATTAAAATCGACCTTAATCGTTTAACGAACAAACCAATTGGGCCCGAAGCTTTTATTTGGTCCAGCCGGAATTTAAAAAGCACCGGTTGGGTTGGGTTGGAAATTAAAACAAAAGGTGCAAAAAGTAATAGGAATAACCGAAGGTTCGAAAACGGTTACGGCAATGTTAATCGGGGTCCAAATTAAAAAACGGCGCAAAGCTTCCATCCGTTTAGCGTAACAAACCCGATTAGCTTTAACCCGCTTAGCGCTTTCGGCAAACGCACGCGCTTTTATCGCTTTAATCGTTTGGGCGTTATTTTAAACCTTTTTACGGGCAATTTGTTGTTCCCGCGCGTTTTTTATATCCCGTTGCTTATCCTTTTCCGCGGGGAATTTACTTTTCCTTTGCTTATCCTTTTCGGTTTGTTAAATTTTTTTTTTTTTTAAATAATGCTTTTTCCGTTTGCTTAGCTTTAATTATTAAAATAGCCATAACCGTTTGCAAATTCGCATTATACGCGCACAAAACGAAATTAACTAAAAAGCAATAAATTGGTGGGAAAGCAAAAAGCCATAATTTATTTTTTTTAAGCTTAAGCCCGGTTAAATTCTTTGCGCTTAACGCGCTTTTAAACGGTTGCACGCGTTGCTTTGTTACCGGTAATACCCATTTTCCAGCCAATTTATTAACACCGCACAACGTTTCCAAAACATTACGCCGCCGCGCAAAGCACTTACAATTGCTTGCTTTTGCTTTTGCAAAAAATTTTATATTAGCAAAGGTTTAAACGATAAAAACGAAAGCGTAAAAATTTACGGATTGGTAAAAAAATGGTAATAAAAAGGAAAAAAAAAAGGCCGGAACGAAATAAAAAAAAAAAGTTTTAATTGTTACGCCCACCTCTTCCCGGTAATGGCTAAAATACTTACCTCGTTACCTTTTGTAATTAAAGCACTTGCTTCGTTGCTTTTGGCAGTAAAAAGCGCTTGCTTTGTTACTTTTCGAAGTTAATGCGCTTTTACGGTTACCTTTTAAAAGCGGAAAACGCTTGCTTCGTTACTTTTCGAAACTAATGCATTTTTATAATTAACCTTTAAAAGCGCGGTAAGCTTTTAAATCCCACGCTATTAATATAGCAACCAATTTCTTTTTGTTTTATTTACAAACAACCCAAAAGGCTCGCCTAAAGGGTATGTTACAAAATAAATAGTATATATTGTTATAAGGAAGCTTTAAGCATAAATATTAAATGCTTAAGGCATTGGAAAAGCGGTTCCTTTGCCTGGAAGCGTATAACGCTTCCAGGCGTTAAAAAGGAAGTTTAGTAAGCAAGGAGGACAGGGAATTACGTGTATATAAAGGGCAGAGGCCTTTACGGGACCCTGCACTTCAAATCCTTTCCTTTTTAAAGCATATCAACCGGAATAACCTTACACCGTGCTTATCCCTTCTACCTGCAACAGCTTCGTTTAAAGCTTAAATGGGCTTATTTCCCACTTTTTGCGTACCTTTATATACTTTAGGTTGTTGGGGTTGCTAAAAGGTTTATACAAGCTTTTTACGTTTTTATTGTACCGTATTGGTATGTATGGAAATTTATATTTTGTTTGCCATGCTTTGGCTTTTTACATAATATGGATTTAGCATTTTAATTTTTTGCATTTTTGCTATTCCAAAATTTTAGCAATGCAAAGCATGGGCTATTAAAAGTTAAATCGGAATATTGCTAATTTTCCGTACCTTTTGGTAATAAACCATTTGGGTAATTGCTATACCAGCTTTAATTTAATAATAAGCTTGTTGGTTTATTGGCAAAAGAAAAAATCGTTTTAAAGCTTTTAAATTAAATGCACCGCATAATTTGTAGCAAAACATTCCTTTTAAAATAACCATACGTGCTTTTAATGGCTAAGCATAAAATTGTTATGGTTTTTTTTTAATGCTATTGCGCAGCTTTTTAGCCCATTTTTAATTGTAAGCTTGCAACCGGGTGTACTTTCGGTACGTAATTAAGTAATTGCTTTTAAACCAGTTAATAAAGCGCCCGAAATCGTTTTTGGTTGGTATAGCTTCGTAAAAGGTGCCGTTTTCGTTTAGCAAATTAATGTTTCCAAAGCACCGTTAAACTTTAACTTTATTTTAAGCTTTTTTGCCTTTTTAAAATTGTTCGATTACAGCTTTTGGGCGTACCGGGTGCAACCTTTTTTTTTGCTTTCGCATAGCAAGCCCGTTTTAGCAAAACGTTTTGTAGCTAATTTAATTTAGCATTATTGCGCATGCATATACCGCACCGTTGGTTTTAATTACAACAAGTTAATTGTAATTCAATTCGTCCTTTTTTGGCTAACGCTTAACCTGCGTCCAAAAATTTTGCAAATTAACGCTTTGGTTGCGTTTTAATTTGTACTTTCGTTAGTACCGTTTTTAATACGCCGCCCGTGTGTATTTTTGCAAAACGCGGGCGTTTTTGGCGTACCGGCGGAAGCTATTTAAATTTTTTTCGTTGCTTTTTTTTTTCGAATTTGCTGCTTTCAAACGTTATTTGTCCGTAAAAACTTTTGCTTGTTACTTAGGCTTTAATTAGCTTGGGGATAACGAAGTCCGGGTTTTAAAGGATTTTTACAATATCTTTTATGGTTGGTTTATTTCCTTTTTCGCTGCTTTTTGGCTCGAAGTTAAGGATTAAACTGGATTTAACCCAAAGCTTTGGGCTGTGCTTTTATTAAGCTATTTCGTTTTTAAAGTTTCGTTTTTTAACAAAAGCATTCGAAATTCTTTTTTGTTCGGCAGCGCGCAAAAGTTGCTTCCAAGGTGTTTTATTTCGTAACTTGGGGTTTTTCCGGAAATTCCTATCGATTTAGGCTTGGTCGTTTTCTGTATTTAATTCCGTTAACCCGTAAGGTTTGGGTGCTTTCCCTTTGTTGGTTATAGCCAAACGCTTTCGAAAGTAATATTTTATAACGTTTTTATCGAATTAATGTATAACGCAATGGTTGTTAATGCATGCAATCCAAGAAAACGCAAAGCCGGAATAACCATTATTTTCCGGTCCTATCGCTACTTTTTTAATTGCTGCCGCCATTTTCGTTTTCCCATTCCAAAACATTTTTTTTTATTTTTTCCTTTAAAGGCAATTTTTTTTAATATGCTTAAATTATTTACATTAAAAGCATTTGCTATTTTTGGGGTTTTGGAATTTGCGCTTCCTTTGCTTTTAATGCGTAGCGCTAGCGCTAAAATCCATAAAGCTAAAGTAACAACCATAAGCTATGGATTTGTTGCGGTCGAACCGTTATTGCGGTCGGTTGCTTTATATTACAAATTTGGTTTTTTGGCTTTTTTTTTCCAAACGGCGCTTATACAATTTATCGCTAATTTTAATTACGATAACAACGTATTTGGCAAAGGATTCGGGTTAGTTAATTTTTAAAATTTCGTTTTTTACGTTATTTCGAAGCCCATTATACAAATGGGCCATTTTAATTTGGTTGGTTTAATTAAACTTGTTAGTAAAGCGTTAAAAATCGAAAACGTATTTTAACGCTGCGCTTTTTTATTAAAATTGGAATATTTTTTTTTAGCAATTTGTTGCTTATTAATTTGGCCAAATACGTTAATAATCTTTTTTTCGAACCGGGCAAAATTGGTAAAAATAATTTTGGTTTTTTTTTTGCTTTTGTTATAGCTTTTAAAAAAGTTTGCCCATACGAGTTCGAACCATTTTTTAATTTTGCTTTTAAAGCAAATAGCTGCGTAAGCAACCTTTTACTATTCCGTATTAAATTGGTTATAATAAAAGGCAAAAAAGCTTTAGCATTTTGTTAAAAAGGCTTTAAAAGCCCCGTCCTTTCCATTATAACGATTAAGCGTAAGGAATTTGTACGCTTTGGTAATTACACGAAAGGTATTAATTTAAATTTGTAATTGGGTTACGGTTTGGGACATTGCAAACAACGTTCGGGCTGTTTGGTTTCCTTCGTTTAGGTTATATATAACCTTTCCGTAGGTAAAGGTGTTGGGCACTTCCTTTTCGTCGTTATTGGGAACGGGAATTTGGGCTGCTTGGGCCGCTATCGCTATTGCTCGGTACCGGTTCGGGTGCTAAACAAGATTAATTAAAATGTTACAATTAAGCCTTTGCTTTTAAAGTAAAGCACCAAAGGAATATCGAATAGTAGCACGTAATTTAACAAATTAAAGGGATTTACAAAGTAATTTGGGTGCGGTTTAAATGCTTGCTTTAAAGGTTATTTAAAAATTAATTAAAGTTTAACTAATGCTAAAGCTTTAGTTAAAAATTACTTAGGACAGTAAAAAACCCTTCCTTTTTATAACCCGTCCTTTATGCTATTTCCTTCTTTCCCAGGGTGGTAATTTGTAATTTTGTTAACAAATTACAGGTTACCTAAGTAATTTGTAACCCCATTAACAAATTACGGGCGGCTTACCTAAGCTTCCTTGTGGTGAGGGGTAAGCGCTTGCTTGCCCCTCGCCTCTCTGGCCTCCCGTCCCGGCCGGGTAGTTGTTGGTCGTAACAAAAGGACGGAATATAATTAAAAGCAAGCTTGCTTTTTAATTAATATCGGGTTCCTGAAATTTAAAGTGCAACAAATTACTACGGTATACACTTTGGTATTATGGAAAAGGCTTTGTTATTGCACGAAAAGGAAGTTATTTGGATAAGGCGCTTTTAGCGCTTTGTTGTGGTTTTGTAAGCGTAGCGTTAGCGCGCTGGGAGTGCGGCTTTAAGTTTTTCCCTGGGTGTTTTAACGCGTACCGTAACATGTTACGTAGCCTTTTTTAGCACCAGTTGCCTTCGTACCCTTCCTTTGCTTTAAGTGGTGGTTGTTAATCGTAACCGCTTTTTTTTAATGCCCGAATTATCGATGCGGTGCTAAAAAAGATAATTAAAAATTTGGTTACTAAAATATACATTTTTCCCGTAAAATCGCCCGTAATTATTTTTTGTTAATAACGCTTTATTTACGAAAAATTAAAGCGTTTTATATATTTAAAAAAGTTAAATATAAACGTAAAGCTTTACATTTTGGGAACGTTTTTAATTTTGATTTGGGTAAAAACTTTCGCTAAAGCCGCCGCCGCCGCCGCCGCCGACGACAACGACGACGTAAAGGTTGTTTTTGGGAACAACGCCGACTTTTTAACTTTTTTAAAGCGGCTAAACGGCTTGCCCATTGAGTTGTTAATTGATACGGGCGGAAGCTGCAACCTAGTTAAGCTGGAATGGTTTTAAAAGCATAAGATACGATGGACTTGCTTCGCTTCCAATCCTTGCTAATGGCCGACGGCTCCGAACGCAAAAAGTGCCCGTATATCGACGTTAAGTGGAATCTTAACGGCAAGAACAAGCTATGGGTCGACGTTAAGTTCGTTATCGTTAAGGGGTACGAGCACGACGCCTTAATTGGGCTCTCGTTCTTTAAAAAAAACCGAAACCATCCACAATAGCGCCAGCTGCTTGGTTTTTTCCGAGTTTAAGGGAGTGCACGCCAAGAAGGGGGCTATTCCGCTGTATAACTTTGGCAAATCCTCGGCCGGTAAGTAAAGCAGCAGTAATGCATAAGTACAGCACGGGTTAGCAGCAACCTTTTCTTCGTTTTCCTTACCACGCCTTCAATACGTGTCCCCCCCCGCCCCCACCGGCCGAGTTAACGAACGGTTGTCCCCTCGCAGCACAACTCATTATTTGCCGCGCCCCGGCGGCCAGGAAAAAGCGCTTTCGGGCAGCACCTTGCCGGCGAGGATGTGGCCGACGTCGGTGCTCGAAATGTCGGTCGCCGGGTGGCGGATCCGGCCGAACAGCTCGGCCAGGAAGGAAAGGGCAGCGGGACCGAAGAAGCCGCCGCCGCCCGCCGCCGCCGCCGCCGCCCCCCCCTTGCGGCTGCCGTGCGGGACGCCCAAGAACTCGCACGCGTAAACGTAGTCCTCGTGGGAGCGCAGGTAAAGCTGGCCGGCGAAGAGCAGCAGGGCGATAACCAGCTCGCGGGGCACTTGCCATTTAAGCGGCGGGGGTGACGGTAGTGACGGTATGACGTACAGCTGCAGGTTTTCGGCGGAGCGGGTATGCAGGCTGGTGCGCGGCGCGAAGAGGTGCAGCCGCGCGGCCGTGCGGCCCGCCTCAAAGGCCGGCATTAGCGCGTTGGCCTCCCAGGGGCTCAGCAAGACGACCGTGACCGCCTCCGGGGAAGAAGCACCGCGTGGCGAATTCCCTTCCTTACCAACACCGCCGCCGCCGCCGTTGCCGGAAGAAGCGGCGGGTGCGGTGGCAATCCACTGTACCGAGCGCTGGTAAGCGTCCAGTGGTGAGCCGGCCTCGGACAGTGTCACGGTGCGTCCGAAGTCCGCCGTGGCGAGGAGGATGAGGTCGGGTGGGAAACGCAGGCCGCCGAGGAAGCCGGCCGCGCTGGTCCCGGCCAAGGTGCGGAAAGCCGGCTTAAAGGCTCTCGAGCCTTTCGGGATCACGCCCGTCATGACAAACGCCTCGACGTCTGCGTGGAGCCGCGGCACGACGGCCTTTGCCGTCGCCGGCTTCTCCTCGACGCGCTCTTCCTCGCGTTCCACCAACAGCTCGCGTTCCTGCTCTTGTCCGAGCGGCCGCGAGCCGCGCTCTCTTTGGTCGACCACCCCGAATTCTTCACATCGAGCTTGGATCGCGTCGGTGGTATCCGCCGTTAGAGGCGAGGAGGAGGGAGTTTGGCTCGAGGAGGATGCACTGCCACCCCCGGGGCGATATTGGTCGCTTAGCTTCGTGACCTCGGTTTCGAGGAACTCCATACAGGCGTCGCGACCGAGTCCGTAGCGGTTCCCCTTGTCCGCCTGCTGCCAGAGCCGCCGCTGGCGCTGGTGCCGCCTCCCCTGGGCCGCCCACGTCGGCACCGCCAGGCGCGTTTCGCGCCACGTTTCGCTAATGGACCAGGCCAGCACGTCGGCGACCTCGATGTCGCCGTTTGCTGGTATCTCGCGCAGCGTCCGGATCCCGTGCCGGACCTCGGCCGGTGCGAAAAAGACAACCGACTGGCCGCGGCCGAGCTCCCGCATCCGCATGCACGCTGCAGTCGGTTATCGCTCTTGTTAGCACGGTGGACTTGCTCCGTTCTGGTCGTTATTTGTGAGGGGGGTTACCTTGCACGAGCTTGTCCTTGGTCAGCGCCGGCCCCAGCGTCACGGCGGCGCGGTAGTCGTCGGGCAGGGCGAGGTCGGTGCCGCGCGCATGCGCCTCGTCGAGGAAGACGAGACAGGGTGCCATGTTCATGGCGTACGACGATGTCAGGAACGGCTCGGTCGCGCCGCCCCTCGCCACGACGCGCAAGTCGCCGTGGCTGTCGAAGAAGACGGCCGCGTCGGCCGTCTTGTCCCGCGCCAGCCAGCCCCGCGCGATCTCGGCGTTGTCCAGCTCTATGATCTGCGCGCCGGCGTCGATGATGACGCGGACCGGCGGCTGGGACGCGGCGATGATGCAGTTGACGAGCCCCATGGCCCTAGCCCGGGACGACGGGTCGGGGCCGGCAGCGACGTCATCCGGAGAGAAGAAGAAGGCCGTGTCCGCGTCCGTGTCCGTGTCCGTGTCTGACGATGGTGCGAGGTCCCGCACCTTGTTCTCGGGCCGCAGCAGCCGGCCGAGCACAAGAGCGTCGGTGTGTCTCTGTGTTTTCAAGTCGAGGGTCTTGATGCCCAGCGGCAGGAGATACCCGGCGTCGTGGGTACCGCTGAAGCCGGTGGTGGTGGCCAGGGCAGCGCCGCCACCCGGCAGTCGTTGGGCTCCCCCGGCCACGAGTGACCAGGCCGACCCGGAGAGCTTCTGGGAAAAGTCGTGCATCTCGCGAGTGAAGAGCACGTTGCCGAGGTAGTAATCGATGGCCGGCTTGAGGTGGCGCAGGTGGGGAAATGCTGCGGCGGCGCAGCGCCCGCGGTCCCCCAGGTCGAGGGCGCTTAGCCGGTGGAACTCGTGGGGGATGTTGTCGGGCGCGGCCCGCACCCAGCTCAGGTATTCCTGTTCTCCCTGGCCCGAGGCGAAGAGCCGCTCGATCGAGCAGAACAGGTCGTCGTCGCTCAGACCGCCGTAATAGTAGCTCAGGCATGTTAGGGCGATAAGCACGTCTGGATGGCTAAACTCGGACCTCGGGGCTGGAAGATCTTTGGCGCGGAAGGGCACGGCCAGCCCCGTGGGTGGTTCCCGTGTGTCGGTGCGCCCGTAGTTGACCCGCCACCGCTGCCGCAGCGAAAAGGACAAGACGCCGTGGGCGATCAGGCCCCGGAGGAGGAGGAGCCGCCCCCGCATGTCGTCGGTGGCGAATATTGTTTCTACCGCGGCGACGTCCTCCGCGTCCGGCTTGTACTGCGTCATGTATCGCTGGATCGCCTCCATCTTCTGCCGCGGCTTGTCTGCGGCATACGGGAACTCGGGGAGAGCCCCGAGGGCGCAGATGCGCTCTCCCAGTTCGCGGGTCAACATGTCCGCACCGCGCTCGTTGAGGATCCTGACGGTGGGGAAACTCCCCGCGCCCGCCCCGGGCACCAGCTCGATCTCGTCCGGGTGCTTAGCCACCGTGTCACAGGCTATGTCGGCGACGAGCCCGAGCACGCTCTGGATAAGCTGCCACCGCAGGGGGCTAAGGTCCGGTGGGCTGGGTAAGCCCATGGTGTAGACGAGCTCCGAACGAGTGCCGAGGATCTCGTCGCTCTCGTCGATGACGTCCCTCGCCTTGCTGTCGAGGAAACGCTGCAGACCAACCGAGGCCTCGGCCTGGTCCACGGCGCTAGCGGCTGCATCCATCTCCGTCACGACGGAGTCCACGATGGATCCTAGTCCTTCCAAGAACTCGTCCATCCTATCTACTATCCACTCTCCCCAGTCTGCTGCCGTGTCTGCCCGCCTCGGTAGCATGGAAACCAGGGTACGCTTGGCTAGAGCACCCAGCATCGGTAGCTTCATGGCCAGGGTATGCTTGGCTCGGACCCTGTCGCGGACGCGTAACATGGCCTCAATGCACGACAGCCTCAGCGACAGCATGTTCTCGTGCTGGGCCAGCACGACGCCGCCGCTCGACACGCACCCGAGGTATTCGGCATGCAGGCGCTTCAGGAAGCCGGTGCCGGCGCCGCCCCTCGCCAGGGGCATTTGGTGGACGTGACGCCCCAGCAGGCCCCCCAGCGCGCGGCTGAGCGTGTGCATCATCTGCTTGCGCTGCGGCCGGGCCACGACGACACGCGCGAGACGGGACCCGTCGTCGGCGATGGCGGCCGCCACCATGGGCATGATGACTGACGACTTGCCCTCGCCCATGTTGAGCTGCATGACGCAGCTGCGCCCGTCTGGCGGCTCGATCATGGCCCGGGCGATGTGTGCCTGGACCGGCCGGATAAGCAGGTCCCTTTCCACCTCGAGCAGCAGCCAGTCCGGGAAAGCAAAGGGGTCCCACCCCTCGTGGCCGACGTTGCCGAGCTCCCTGGCCAGCCGCTTCCCGTCGTTCCCGGCCGCCGCCCTCACCAGTCGTCCGGCCCGCTGCAGCGACGTCAGCGAGACGGCGTAGTCGACAAGACAGCGCCGCCACGCTTCCGGCAGCCCGGCTCGGTGCCGTCTCGACAGGCGCTCGAGGAGCATCATGGGCGTGATGACTGGCAGCCTCGCCACCTGTGATGGGTACTGGCTGTGGTAGTGGTTACCAGCACCGCCGCCGACAAGTGCACTGCATATCGCTGCGAACCTGGCGGCGACCTCGATCCGGCACGCTTCCCTGTGCCTCAGCAGTAGTTCGCGCGCCATCTCGTCTATTGCCCCCAGACCCGCCGACGTCTCGCCCCCGGGCCGTTCCCGGAGGGCGGCGACGCTCTGCTCGAGCATGTCGACGTAGCCGCGCTCGTACTTGTGCGAGGACATGTCCCTGAGCTCGCTACAGAGGCGTCCTAGCGCTTTGTGTTCCTCGTTGTGCGTGTCCCGCTCGTTGTTGCTGCGTTCACCGCACCGTGCCAACAACACGTCGAGGTGCCGCTGCGGCCCGTCGGTGTTGGGGTGCTGCTGTATCGGTTGCGGCGGTTCCTGCGTGGTAAACATGTCCTCGATGCTCGCCAAGCCGATCCGCTTCCTGGCTAGTTCCGGCGCCGGTGCCGGTGCCACGCCGTCGGTACTTGCTACCGTTGGCCATTCACTGAGGCAGATGGTCATTCCGGCAAGGCATCCGCTCACGGCCTTCCCACGATTATCGTCCTCCCCGGATAGTAGAGCATTTATTAGCCTCTCCAAGCATCGGGCAACAGCACCGGCTCCACGCGTCCCTGGGTCCGACGGCGACCCGGCTGTTGCTGCTGTCGAAACGCTGCCGTCGTTGCTGCCGCCCATGATGACTTGAATGATGGCGCAGGTATCGAGCTCCCAGTCGTAACGGTCACGCTTGGGGTAGCGCTGTTTGCGATTCGAGAGCTCGGGGTAGCGGCATGACTCGTATATGATGTCATCCACCGCTGCTGCTGCTGAGTGATGTTGGTGGTTGTCGTACTGGGATACGACGTAAGCCGACATCCGTGCGGCCCTGCGTCGCGCCGCGCTCTCGATCATGTCAGACTCGGGACGCATGCCGGCGAGACCGGACACGAGGCGGGAAAACGCGTCGCTCTGTGCTGTTCGAGGTGCGGATGCGGACCATCGGATCGACAGCCCACATTCCTCAAACCTGGGGCTGATGCTATAGATGCGACGCAAGAGAACAAAGTACGCATCTGGCAGGTCGCGGATAACATCACGGAGCTTTTTATCGCCGTCAGACAAAGGCTGGCCGTCTCCGTCCCGTGGGGACGGCGGTTCTCGGATGCCTAGGAGGGACCGGACCTTCATGTGGGCTATGGCCCCGGCGTAAGTTGTCTCTAGGCCGTGTAGGAAGTCGATGCTGCGGGGCGGTAGGTCGCGGAGAAGTGATCGAACGGCGGCTGAGCCTAAAATGCGGAGCGCCTCGTCCGTGCCCGTGCGGCCCGTCAGCCGGTCTGGGAGACAGTGCGTGGTCATGGCATGCAGCTGGCAGAGGAGCAGCTTGCTGCTCAGGGTGCCGTCGTCCCGTAGACAGCCAAGGACGGTATCTACGCTAAAGGCGTGGTATTGGGCACGGCCAGCAACAGTGGGGAGTCCCCGGTACTCGGCACGGCCAGTGGTAACATCGATTTTCGTCGACTGCGCGCGCCCATGTGCGCCGGCTGTGAAGGAGACGGAGCCGAGGGGAATGAGAACCAGCCGATCTCCCGGTTCCTCCTCGGTGCGCCGGAGCACGAGCTTGGTCTCCAGCCCCGACAGTGTCCCGATGTGCTGCGAGGCGTCGATGGCGTAGCCCTTGTACTGCACCGACGTAACCGCACAACCGCCGGCCCCGAGACGGAAGGATAAGTGCAGCCGTGGCAGGGCAATATCAAGGGCCGCGCGATCGGGCTCCCAGGCCATCTCGATAAAGCAGGGTGGTTCCAGTGGCCACAAGATGCTGTACACAGCGTTGGCCGTCTCGCTCCGGACGTTGATGGCGAAGCGCGACTCCCCTGCTCGACTGAAACGGGGGCCATCCGAATATTTGGAAAGGTGCAGCACGTAACCTGCAAACGGGGCGGGACCGGTATCCCGCCGCGTTTGCCAGGTCCTGTCGAGCGGCCGGAACTCGATGTAGCGCTTGTCCGGCGCGAACCAGTGCGTATAGTCGGTGACGAGGTGGCGGGGGAAGTCATTGCGAAGGCTTTCGGCCGGGATCAGCTCGTACTGGATGCCGTCCTTCTCGGACCGCACCACGAGCGTCTGCTGCTGCTGGTCTCCTCCCCCCCGCACCATGGCAAAGTGCAGCTCGTGGTCGTGGTGTTTCGAGGTTGTCATGTACTGCATGCCCTGCTGCCACATGTGAGACGGCACCACAGTGAAGACGGCATGCCCGAGCAGGCGCCGGTACGTTGCGTTGTCGCAGAAGCTGGCCGGGAAGGTAGTAAACGGTAGGCCGCCCACCGAGAGGCTGCCCGTCAGGAGGTCGTACCGTAGTGACAGAGCATCCGGGCTGGCGACAAGAACATGCTCGTACGGAGCCGCCTCGGCAGCCCATACGGCTCGCCACGCGTATGACGGCCAGACCGCCTGCACGGCCTGGTCGAGACAGCTGCTGCCCTGGTCGACGATGTAGGCGCGCAGCTGATGTTCGACCTCGTACGACAGTCGGCGCGAGCGGTGGCGGAACACATCGAGGACAGCCCTGGTGGCGCCATCGTTGTTGGGTGCTGTCCCTTCTTGAGCGACCACGTGGGGAGCGTGCTCGGCGGCGCGAATCGACGCCTCGATGAGCACTGCTGCCGACCCGTCGTCGGAGAGGAGCTCCCGCATGTGCGCGGCGCCGACGTCAAAGGTGGCATGGCAGATGAGCGCCATCATACGGGCGCGCCAGCCCAGACTGCTGTGCCGCCGTGCCCCGTCGGCCGTGCCGCTTTCGCGTAGTTCGGTGTCAAAGTCCCGCGCCCACCCTATCGACTTGTCCCGAATCCAGCGCAGATAGCCCAGGCACTTGGCTTGTATGGCCCGGTCCCGCGACACCGATAGCAGTCGGGCCCCGAGACCGACGAGGATACATAGGGCCACTTCACATCCCTGTTTCGTCATGATGCGTCCCAGCGCCTCCTCGAGAGCCAAGTGAAGCGCCTTCGCAAACTGCCCCTCACCGAGGATAGCGTGCGTGCTGCGGAGGATGTGGTCATCATCATCCATGCGTTGTTCTTCTCCCCCCCTAGGACCCACTTCGTGTGCTGCCTGCATGACCAGGAAGAAGACTTCAGGCCGGTTCAGGTCGAGTGAAGGCATGAGGAGCTGCAGCAGGATGTTGTACCATTGAAGCCGTGGGCCGGCCCGTAGGCCTCCAAAGGCCCGGAACTCGTTTGGCGTCATGTTGTCCGGGCAGTGGGGCAGTGCCGCCAGCACGCTGTTCGCGGTATGAGCAGTGCCAAGAATCCATTCCCGTAGTATCTGCGGTGTGGCGTCGGGCGGGTAACCCTGCCGTCGGCGTAACACAGGGAGGAACGACGTCGGTAGGCGGCAGAAGCCATTTCTTGAACGGCACGTGTCGTAGAAGTAGTATTCGTCCGTGACAAGTCGGACACGACCAAGGCGTGGAGGAGGGGCCCTTGGCCCGCTGCAATAGAAGTAGTATTCGTCCGTGACAGAAGAAGCCCATTGCTTGCTGCAATCACGCGCGAGCTGAAAACGCAGCTGCCCACTGCGACGGTTCGGCGCAACGTCCTTGATGATGGGGTGGTCGTCGGGGCGGTAGAGCACCCACCGAGATTCCGGTTGCATGTTGGCCGAGGTACCGCAGAGCCCGGTAAGGATACTCAGCGTGATCTCTCTCCACGTCGTAATGACGGCCGGGGCGGCGGCCTCGAATACGATGGCCTTGGCCGCCGTGTCGTTCTTCGGGAGTGGCCAAAGGAGTCTCGGATGCCGCGTCATCTCGACTATTCTCAATTCGGTTATTCTCGTCTTGGCTTCGCAAACGATCTCTCGGCACAACTGTCGGTGCCGGGGGGATGAGTCGTAGTAGCGCGCGGCGAAGCAAGTTTTGGACCAGGAACCGTCGCCGGACCGGAGCTGCCAGGGAGGACCACGACCGCCTGCGCCGACTCTCCGCCGCTCAAGGTAATCCTCGACCCTGGCCAGCCGGGCCATCTGCTCTCTCTTGGGCAGCACCAGGTCATCCAAAAGGCCGGGCAGGAACCCGGTGTCGTAATCGCGCAGAAGAGGAACCAGGTTGGCCGTCGAATCGTCTATGGTTATCCACAGCTCCATGATGGCCAAGTGCATCACCGACAAGGCTTCGGGATTATCCCGATATGGTCCCGCAGCGGCTTCCCAGTAGACTTCGATAAGCCTCCCAAGCTTTTCGGCTGACCGAAGAATCTCGGCCGCCGCGGGCATAATAGGGTCGTGACCCCCCCGGCCCTGTATCGCACTGGTACCATATGCCGGTTAGCAGACTCGACTTATGTAGGCGAGTGGTCAAAAGATAGGAGGGAAAAAGGGGGGACGGAAGAATCTGGGTAGTCCAACTTTTCTGCAGAGTCCATAGGTACCACCTAGGTATTCTCTCTCTCTGCCGTATCAATGGATAGGCCGCCTTTCGCTTTGTCGTTGCAAAAAAAAAAAAAAAAAAATGGGGAGGGGATCGGATAGCCTGGGCAGCGTCCCAAGTGAATTTAGCTGAAGGGGAAAAGGGGTCTCTCTGATGATGTATGTGTCTTGACGCAGATCAAGGCTGGCTGTCCTCAGCAAGCGCTGGCACAACTGCCGTCGGCCGCCTCCAATTTTTGGGGTGGTGCGCCAAAAAAAAAAGGGCAAATTGGGGAACGAGGCGGGAGCCAGTAGGAAACCGCGGTTTACAGAGCCTTTCCTTCGGGCAGCAACTCTCTAGTGCATGCACACTGCTAGTGCATATCTTACCCAATCAGGATGTGGCCGATCACGGGGGGGCCACGTCCTATACCACGACTGGCTGAGGGCTTGGGAAAAGCAAGCCCGACGGGTCGTGGCCGAGCATCACTGCGAATCACAATATCACACTCCTGTGATTAGGAATCCAAGACACGTCGTCGTCCGAGGCTGCCACGGGGGGTACTTTGCCGCAAGGCGTTGAATTGGTTGGATGGGTTGCCAAGCCCAACAGGGGTATGGGGTTTGGGAACGGACTTGCCCCACAAGCCAACCCGTGGATTGGATGGACCCCACAGCCTAACTCGACATGGAGGCCGGGTTGGGTTGCACCTGCCTCACTCATGGACCAGAATCTGCGGGTTAATAGCGACAGTTGCACCCCGCCAGTGTCCCGGTTCCCTCGTTAGAGATGCGCCGCTTTCCACCCATCATTATCTGTCCAAGACCATAAATTCGATTCACGGTATGGCGAGCAACATTGATGCTCACAGTGATCAGTCGCCCGGGGGAGACGAGGGTGGAGTGGGTGAATCCTTGTATTACTTGATTCGCCACATCTTCCTTCCCCCGAAGCTGCCATACCCCGACGAGACCTGCAAGGCGAACGAACAGACGCTGGGAACGGTTCACCGCGAGGCAAACGAACAGGCGCTGGATGAGGCAACCAAACGGGCGCTGGAGGCGGCTCGCAAGGCAAACGAACGGGCGCTGGCGGCGGCTCGCGAGGCAAACGAACGGGCGCTGCTGGAGGCGGCTCGCGAGGCAAACGAACGGGCGCTGCTGGAGACGGTTTGCGATGCCTTGAAGCGTTTCAGGCGGTTCCTCTGCGCGGAGCAGACCCCAGCGGTGGATCGCTGCATCCGAATGCTGTCGTACATGATGGACGCACGAGACGCCTCGAGCGGGCGCTGGAGTGCCGACGTCTGCGGGGAGCAGATAGGCCGACTAGAAAATGACGGTAGGTACCTAATGAGGCCCCCCTCCCCCTACACAGCCGTGACGAGCGGCCAACACGCAGTGGTACTAACAAGGGGGGAACGTGTAGACTGCCTGGTGGTGCACATCCGACAGCAGAACGCCGGTCTTATCATCACACGGGCGAATGCCGAGATGCACTTCGAGTCGCTAGAGGTTCTCGCCACAGATACGGCAACAGATACGGCAATCGCCACAGATACGGCAACAGATACGGCAATCGCGGGCGCGGGGCGACTGCGGCGTCGCTTTCCTGACCGGGCCGTGGCTGTGGCCCGGAGCAGCATCATCGACCCGCCATTCCTCCAGCCGTTCTTACGCTCGGTTGCCGAGCTCGACCGCACCCAGGGCATGCCGAGACGCCCTGCACTGGCCAATGAAGTGCTCATGGCCGTGCTGCGTCGCATCGGTCGCGGTTTGGCGGACGAAGTTGTGTCTATATCCAAACATAGCAGAGAGGAATCACTCACCGAGGAGTGGCCCCCAGACCCCGCGGAACCGACGCTTAGACATGGTTATACCAAGTTCTCCTGGCGCAGATCACCGCTGTGGCTTCTGCTCAGGGTGGCCCTGCAGCTGACGCTCGACCGGGCGGCAAAACGGGAGGAGCAACGCGCCGGACGGCCTGCCGTGTCGCTGTACAAGGCCGCCATGGTTTTCACCATGGGCTGCGTCCTGGACAAGGCGGCGTCCGGGCACGTGCCCCACGACCTCCTCTTCTTTATGAAGTCCAAAATCAGCCAGCGCATCATGAAGCTGGCGTCTAGCGATGAGGGGGCGACCGCGGCGGCCTGGTACAGCTTCCCGTGCGAGGTGCTGCGCCGTGTCGACCCCATGCTCACCAAGACTTGGGACGCCATCCAGTCGGCCGAAGAGACGGCGCCGCCACTCCTGTCAGGTCTCGATTTCCGCCAGGATACGCTGTTGAGCCTCGAGGCGCTGAAACTACATCTGAAGTGGATCAGTCAGAGGAGACAGGCCGAAGCTCCTCATGACGCCAACCACTCTTTCCCTTTCCGCCGAGCCCAGTTGGAGGGGGCACCCCGGGATACTTTCAGCAGCAGCAGCACCGGCGACATGGTCTACTTTGAACTAGCTGATTTTGAGAAGTGGGCTAAAGTCCAGGCCAGGCCCAGGGAGGACAGCATCTCCGGCTGCGCGGCTACAGCCACGCCTGCTGCCACTTTCGAAGACGCGGATGCGGGGGGGGCCTGTTGTGCCGAGGGAAAACGGCCGGGCTTCGCAAGCAGTCCTCCAAGCCTCCCAGGCAGCCAAGCCGGAAAGGGCAGTGGTTGGCAGTGGCACGTCGACAACGTTTCGGCCCGGGTCCTCTGCGCCGGGAACGGCTTCTCGGAGATTTTCTCCCGGGCCGCCGGAGACCCTAGGGGGGGGGGCATCGTCTTCTCGGCTGTGTGGCGAGTGCAAGGCGCTCCGGGTCCTCGATGCCGACTTCAAGTGCTTCGTCAGGCCGGCCGCCAGGTCGGAGCACTGCGAGCTGTGCAAGATGCTCCACGCGGTGCTCTGGCCGCGGGGGACCCAGTCGACCCGGCCGGTCGGGCTGTACAGGAACGGAACAAATCTATGGGCCGACGAGCACGACCGACCCGTCGTGCACATGCGCGTTGCCCCTACGTCGGAGAATGACACCCCTATTACGTCGGAGAAGGATACCATCCAGGTTGGGCCACCAAAGTTCCTGATGAGGCCCAGCAAGGCGTACTTCGAGCTGCTGCGCAACTGGCTCCGACTCTGCGACGAGCGTCACCCATCGTGCGGCTCAAGCTGCCATGGCGGGTCGCAGCAGAGCCGCGACAGTCTGCCGACCAGAGTGATCGATGTGGGAGACGTTCGGAGCGGCGAGCAGCAGCAGCAGCAGCAGCAGCAGCAGCAGCCGACGCGCCTTCTGCGTCTCGTGAGAACCGAGGACCTGCCGGACCCAAGAATCCGGTACGTGGCCCTGTCCCATTGCTGGGGCAGGCCGACGGACGCGGAGCGAAGGCGGAACGGCACCTTCAAAGACAATGTCGAGGAGCGCCGCAGGGGGATAGACTACGACAAGCTCGGCAAGACGTTCCAGGACGCCGTCACCGTCACGCGCGCGTTGGGCCAGCGCTACCTCTGGGTCGACTCGCTGTGCATCGTGCAGGATGACGACGACGACTGGAAGCGCGAGTCGGGGCGAATGGAAACCGTCTTTTCGTCGGCGTACTGCGTCATCGCCGCCACTGCTGCCGGGGGGACAAGTGTCGGGTTTCTCAGGCGGCCGCCAACGACCCGGACGGTCCGGACGGTCGTGTTCCCCACGCCGTCGGGCCCCCCGCTGTATCTGTGCGAGAGCGTGGACGACTTTGGCCGCGACGTTGAAGATGCTGCCCTTAGCCACCGAGGTTGGGTTCTCCAGGAACGGGCTCTGGCGCGACGTACCATCCACTTCAGCGCTGGCCAGACGTACTTTGAGTGCGGCGGCGGCATCTACTGCGAGAGCATGGCACTGATGAAAAAGTAATTATTACCCAACACCTCTTTACCCCCCCAACCTCCAGCCAACTAACTGTTTCACTGTAGCCGAGAAGCCAGCGTCTTTGGAGACCCGCAGTTCCCAAAGCTCGCCATGGAGCAGGCCGACGACGACGCCAGCAACGCACGGCACCGCGTTTTCCAGGTGGTCTTCAAGACATACTCGCAGCTGGAGCTCAGTCGGCACACGGATCGGCCAGTCGCCATCGCCGGCGTGCAGCAACGCCTAGCCAAGGAGATGGGCACTCCCGTCGCATTTGGCATCTTTGCCAAGCCCGAGTACCTCCACCGCAGCCTCCTCTGGTGCAGGGCAGGCGATCTGCCGCTTCAATGGATCCACGACGTGTCCCCGCGAGTACCGTCGTCCCCGCGAGTACCGACCTGGTCTTGGATGGCATACATGGGGGCCATCGACTACCTAAAAACAGCGTCTGCCCAGATCGACTGGAACCCCGACACCTCCTTGTCTTTTAAGACCGGCATAAACACAAACACAGCAGAACTAACCGCGCCCGTCGTAGCATTCAAGGCCGAGACGCCACCGAGCCTGCTTCCACTCGTCATGGACAATGCGCGTCCGGCCAATGTGCAGGAGCTAAAGTGTATTGTGGTTGGCAAGGGGGGGGGGGCCTCTCTCGTCGGGCCATTCCGGGGACGACCAAGCAGTTTATTACGTCCTGCTCGTCTCACGGATGCAGACCACCGGCGAGCAAACCACCGGCGAACTTGCCCGGTACCAGAGATTCGGCGTCGGCACCGTCTACGGGGCCAATCTAGAGCTAAAATGCCCCCAAGGACGCGAGAGGGTTTGTATAGTTTAGTTTTTTTTTTTTTTTTTGTTTTTTTGGGATCGGTTTGGGAAAAATAAAAGGTAAAGTGGCGATTGCCGATGAGCACTGCTGCTGACCCGTCGTTGGAGAGGAGCTCCCGCATGTGCGCGGCGTCGACGTCAAAGGTGGCATGGCAGATGAGCGCCACCATACGGGCGCGCCAGCCCAAACTGCTGTGCCGCCGGGCCCGTGAGACCGTCGTGACATACTACGCACACCAAAGAATAAAAGCCACGGGGTGTCTCAAACCAAGACCCACACGTTCGACAAGCTGCCAAGACGCGGTGGACTGGGCGAAGAGGATCCCAATACGACCTGGGGTATGGCGCGTCTTGCAACGGCATATTACGACCAAAGGAGGTACGGCGGTGCCGAGGAGGTCCAAGCCGGAGCGCTAGCACTGCGGCGCGAGGTGCTAGGCGAAAGGCACCCGACGCCCTCGACGTGTCTGGCCGGCCGCTCCGAGCTTTTGGATCTGATCGCCAGCTCCACAACATCCCGCACCGGATGGATCGTCTCAAGCGGGAATTGGCGCGAGATCGAGAGCGGCTTTGCGCAAGCTGGACAGAAAGCCCCTCCCCGAAGGGTCGGCAAAGGATCGCGCGTCTTGTCCCTGTCTCTGGGCTTATTGGGTGGATTACTTGGCACTCAAAACGGTGCACAACAGGAGCTGTATCGGCGTCTCGCGTTGTCCTGTATTAATGTTCTTCCCGTTTTGGTTTAGGAGCCTGCCGCGCAGCTCGACCAAACCCCAAGCCACCTCGTCGTTGTGCGCCACGGCGGAACATAACCCCCATGATGGCCAGTGCCTTGGCGGCGCATTGTTGGCAGCCTGGCTGCGCCCCCCTTGCCCGCAACTCGGCAACTGTCACAGTTTCTTCGTCTGGGCCGCCCAGCTTGCTCAAACGCAAGCATACTGGGCACGCAGGAGACATTTCCCAAGCGGTAACGTGGGGGAGGGGCATGGCTAGTGTCTTTTGTATACAAGCGATGCTTTTGCGGAAGAAAGGGAAGAGCGGAAGTCCTGTGAGTAGAATCCACGGATCCAGAGCGTTCATCAGCCTCACTTGGCACAAAAAGGCCGAAAGGGGTACCTCTATTACATTCCAATCCTATCAACACTAACGTTTTCTGTAACCTAGTCTATTCCGTTATGGTCTATCCCGTTTTTATCCATCCCGCGTTTATCCATCCCGCCTGGCCTATCCCGTTCACCACTACTCGCAGTCCAACACGCCCCCAGCCGCCCCTATTTCCACTCGGTCACCTTTTGGTACACGCTGACCAGCTCGCGCTCCTGGGGGGAATCGGAAGGGATCCTCGGGGCCTTCTTGTCGAGGTCGAAGCAGCTCCCGGTCACGTTGGCCGAGCAGAGCGGCCAGAGGGTGTGCGAGTCCATGTCGCAGGCGAGCTGCTCGGGCACCGAGACGAAGTCCGGGCCGAAGCTGTACGGCGAGTTGCACAGGTCGGCGGCCGACTGGGCCGGGTCGTGGCTCACAATCAGCTCCGTGGCCATGGCCTCGGAGCGGACCCGGGCTGGGGGCACGGGCACGGACCCGCCGGCGGTCTGGTTGGCCTCGGGGCCTTCGTCGACGCTGCGGCGGCCCGGCAGCGAGCGAGCGCTTGTGCGCCACATGTAAAGCTGCTCGTCGGCCTTGTCGAGGAAGTGCAGGAGGCCCTTGTGGCCGCAGTACCAATTGGCCGGCTTGCCCTTGCCTGCACCGAAGTTGGGGGCAAAGGCCGGCATGTACAGGTGCAGGGCGACGGCGCCTTGGCCGTCGGTCTTGTCCTTGTCGAGCCAGGCGCACTTTGTTTTCTTGCCGGACTTGTTGTCGATGACGACATCCGAGTGGTACCAGTGGCGGCCGCACGTTTCGGCCCAGTCGCCGATCCAGGCGAACTTGTTGCCGTCGGGCCAGGTGTGGGTGGCGTAGGCCAGGCAGATGCCGTCGTTGTCTACCTGCTCGAGCATGATGTACTGTGGCTGCTGGTTGCTGGTCTGGAAGATTTCCAGGTCGACGAACTGGCCCCTGCCAACCTTTTCGTATCTGTCGTAGCAGGTGGTGCCGCCCCAGCCGTTGCTCGAGCAAAAGCGCTTATTGGGGTTGTAGCCGCCAATGTTTGCGTGATCCGAGTTGTACACAAGCACGCGGGGAACGTTGCCCTCGGCAGCCGCGTTCATGCCGACGCCCAGGCGCATGCTCGAGTTCTTCGGGGTCTTGGGGGCCGGTGGGAAGAAGGACAAGACGAAGCTGACAATGGTGACGACACCAGACACCGGCCCGAGGATATCGAACGACATTTTGGTGGTCCGGGGGCTCAGTTAAAACTTGAGGGTGAGGAATGATGGAATGGGGAATGATCAAGCCAAGGTCAAGTTCAAGGGTTTGCTGCAGTAACAAGTCCAGGACTAACAAGGCGATGGTGATGGGAAAACAAATCTGCTACTGTCGCTGTCGGTTTGGGCCCTCATATATGTTTTTGCTCCTGCCTCTTGGTGTCTTCTCAAGGAAGGTACGGCCACTTACGCTTGACCCCATCGCGACCCCATCGCCGGTATCATAGCCATCAGTGGTCTAAGCCAGCAACGGCTAGGCCGGGGCAACAATGCATGCATTTTCAGCTGGCTTGGCCGCGATGACCACCTTGGGACATGGCCAAATGGAGCCCAGGTGTCAGCCCGATTGAAGTGGCTTTCGAAGAGAAGCATTCAGGCTGCAATCAGTGCATCTGTTGTTCAGAATACTGCACGGAAGCACAGCCAGTTTTCTCCATCTCAGCTGCTGTGAGGGCATCGCCGCTGAAGGTTCGGCGAGCGGGCGGCTTACCTGCAGCGCGGCGCAAAAGGCGGAGCCCGAACAGCCCGAGGGCGGCAGGTCATGAGGCCCCATCAGATTCATCTCTACCACCAGAAAGAAACCGAGTGGAGCGGACTGACCCGCGGCGTCCGCAGCGCCCCAGAAAAGCACGCCGATAGGCCAATGGTCGCACGGCGGGCCAGTTGCACGGGTGGATTTTCAGCTGGCTTCTATTGCTTGGTGTGGCCTTAATCCTCACGTCAGCACCATATTCCCGGAGCGGGCCCGATGAGACGGCCATTGCCGGCCACAGCGACGACGTAAAGGGTGTGCGGATTGGCAAAAGCCACGATCAACAGCTGCTCGAGGTCGAAACTCAGGCAGCAGTCTTTGGGGAGAACCCTGCTGTTCAAAGAGGGAGTGGCTGTGACGATTTTTGGGAAACTCGCGCCTTCGTTTGGCGCCGTTCTTCGCGTTTTGCACAGCCTGAGTTCGACCATCAGGAAGGCGACGGAGAGTGAGAAAGAAAGAGTACGAACCCACTTGAATTCGGGAGCGACAGCGGGATTTACAGATCATATGCGATTGTGTGCTCTACCTAAATAAGAAACTATTTACACGAAAATCCCGCCCGGCCGTCGGACCAGCCCTCACTAGCCCGAGCTGCGCCGGAAAGGATGGGCCTCGGTGTTGAGGACAAAGTCGTCCAGGCTCACCAGGTCTGGGGACGAGAAGGTGAGGTAGAAGTACTTGAGCGTCTCGGCAAGCCAGAAGCTCTGCGGTTTGGCCAGTGGCACGCGTCAGTCAGCAGTCCTGTCTTGGGGTCAGAGAGCACCAGATCATGTCACTCACCTCCATGTAGTCCTCCTGCACCGGCACCCCGCCCAGCGTGACGTCAAGGTTCGCAGCGTTTGCGATGGGCGTGCGCGTCCCCTTGCTGACGGCCCTAAACATGTCCCAAGCGGCGTCGCGATACCACTCGTCGCCCGTGACGCGCCACAGCACAAAGACGCTCTCGATGGCCTCGGGCCGCAGGATGTAGCGCGGGTCCTTGGCCGTCGTGTACCCCTTGGGCAGGTTCGGCCGCCACTCGGGCCGCTTGGCCTTCTCGGCCTCCCAGTGCGCCTCGTCCCAGGGGCAGTCAGCGGCCCGGACCGAGTGGTCGCCCCGGCAAGGCGCCAGGTTCCACCGCTCCGGGCCCATGCCGCTGGCCATGGACCGGTACGCGTGCACGCAGCCGCGGGTCAGGCGCGCGCCCGTGGCCACGTCGGCGGGGGTGTCGTACAGGCGGCCCGCGAGCGCGAAGACGCCACCGACAAAACAGGCGAGGTGCTCCGTCTCCGGGTCCAGGACGGCGCGGCCGGCCGCCCCGTCGTAGTTTGCGTTGCCCGAGATGAGCACGTCGGCGCCGTCGGGCAGCATGGGGCGGAAGAAGAGGTGGTCCTCGGCCGCGCGCATGAAGCGGGTCGACAGCTCGTTGAACATGGCGTCGCGCCCGTCGGCCAGCACGGCCATCTTGACGAGGTACTCGTACAGCGAGTCGGCGCTGCCGCCGAGCGTGAAGGCGTCGCCGCCCGTCACGTCCTGCGTCTTCATCGACACCATGATGGGCCACAGGCCGGGGATGCGGGTGCGGTTCTGGCCGGCGTGGAAGACGCGCATGACGCGCATCGCCGCGTCCTTGTATTTGGCGTGACCCGTGAGCTGCGACAAGCGCGTCATTTCCAGCGCTAGCGTGCCGGGCGACGCCGACACGACGCTGTCCTCGACAAAAAGGCGCTCGCCCGTTTTGGCGCGCGGCAGGTCGATAAAGTCGACGGGCATACGATTTTCGGTATTAAAGGCGCCGTACAAAAAGTCGCCGAGCTCGACGGCCTTGGTTAGCAGCGCCTCGCGGCCGCTGAGGTCGTATGCGCCCATTAGGCCGCCCAGGTAACGAATATTAGTCTCGAACGTGTTGACCCTGTCCCCAGCCGACGTGCCAAAGTCGATGCCCGCCACGGCCTCGACGGCCTCGTCAAACTCGGCCCGCAGGCCCATGATCCACAGCGTGTCGAGCGAGTCGACGAGCGTGGCGGCCCAGCCCGAGAACTGGTCCTTGTAGCCGCCCGCGATGGGCAGCAGCGCATCCTTCATCCACGCGTGCTCGCGGTAGGCGCGCCAGCAGCGGACGAACTCGGCGCGCACGGCGTCGCGCCTGGACGCGCGCTCGAGCGCCGCCCGGGCCGTCTCGCGCCCGAAATGATGCTGGATGCGGTGCCTTTTGCTGCCCTGCGCGCTCTTGCCGGCGGCGTCGGCCGACGGCGCGGCGCCGTCTGCCGGCGGGAACTCGTGCTTGACGGCGGACCAGTCAAAGCTGCTCTTGACGGCGCGCACCGCGTCCCGCGAGCCCGGCGGGTTCATGAACCGCTGCAGCCTGAGGAAGTCGTCGGACGGCGGCGGCCTCCAGGCCAGCAGCGTGTAGACCATGGCGGCCGCCACCAGCAGGGCCACAAGGACGGTCCTGCGCCGAGGCCTGAGGCCGTATCCGGACATGATGCGGCTGCGTTTCGGCAGACGTGTCACGGGAAGGCAAGCGTATGCGGCTGTCGGCTGCAGCCGAGAAAAAAAAACAATATGGGATGGACGGGAGGGACCAGCCTACGTCGACAAGCCGATGGTGATCACGGGACAGGTTTTGGCTTGCTGGAGCTTCCCCGCCTGCCCCAAGTAGCAGCAGGGCGCACGAGACTCAACGACAGACACGCTAAAATAGAAAGGGAAAAAAAAAAGGGCTCATGTGGAAAAAGGGAGGCAGACATCAGATCGGGCAGCTGGATGCAACGGTTAAAGTTCAGCTCTCGCGCTGGCAGCAGCCCTGATGGCACGGCGGTGGACGAGTCGCGCTCCCTGAATGTGCCAGCGCGCCTCGAGGAGGCACTCGTTCCGTGTTGGTGCGGGGAATGCAGGATCGCTAAAATTGCCTTGTTTTTGGTTTCAGACACGCCCCCCCCC